CTGTGAATGCTCTTTGGCTCTCGTTCAGCTACCAGGATAATGCTGGTCGTAAGGAAGTCTTCCGTGGTCTACCGGTTAGCATCGTCCGACCCATTATTGATGAACTTCGGGCGTCTCGTATTCCCGAGTCTGTGAACATTTTGCCGGCGCAATTACTGACGTTCTCACTGTCAAAGGCACGCTCGGGTCTTGGACTATCGGACGCATGGATCCCGAAACTCGAGTCTTGCTTCGAGGATAAGCGCCAGGTTCTCGGAATCAAGCGTTGTGCTGCTGGCACAGACTGCGCCGAGAAACTCGAGAGCGGCGACTTGTGGCCTAGTTGACCAGAGCCCGCACTATGCAGTGGCGAGTTTGGGTTAGCTTCGTAAGAGTTCGTTAAGCTCCCTGACCTAACTGGAAATTGTTACCTTGTTGATCAAATCCAGTCAAGAACGATCGCTGGCCTGGAACGAGAGCATAAACACGCTTTAAATAATAGGTTGCGGTGACATATCATAAGGTCTACATACCAGGAATTATTCTCGTATCGAATAGTAACTCCTCCTACCTTAAATTGGAAGTTACTTTTTTTTTCTACGGTCACACTTAGGAGCAATCACTTCCACATCTCCAAACCCAATTACAGTTAAGACTACCTTATTACCTCGTGTTTTTATCAAGCAATTGTTTTCATCACATTGCAACTGATGTACATCATTATGTTTCTTGCTACGATAACGGAACTGAAAACGCTTGATATGGTTATTCTTCCTGTTAGATAATGCACTTTTGATATTATTTTCAAGGGTACGTAGATAGTGTGTCAAAGATCCAACTTGGTCGATTATCAAACATCCAAAATGGCACCAGGGTTTCAGCGGTAAGAGTTTTTGTTGTGATTCGGATTCGGACCACTTCTGGACTAAAAGGTAAAATGAAGACTGCATTTGTTAGAGCACTAGTAGAGCTCTTGAGCTCTCCCTAGCACTACGGGTTTCAAGCTCCCTACGATCTGGTTTACACCGTCCCAGCTTCCTTCCCATCCGGGCCAGGTCTTGAACTTCACTATGGGCCAGGGGCTAAAACCTTGTACATGTATTCCAATACTCCCTCCTCGAAGATCGCTTCGACCTTGAAGCTTGACCTTCGATTACTTTGCATCCGTGACGCCTACAAGCAGCATCAATCCTTTGAGTCGCTTCTTGTCCAGTGGCTTGGTGAAAGCGTCTGCAGGATTCTTGTCGCCCTGTACTTTGTGTAGCTTGATTACGCCCTTCTGCTGCTGCTCACGCACAAAGTGCCAGCGTAGCTCGATGTGTCGGGTACGTCGACTGTAAGTCGGATTGGTAGCCATCACATATGCCGCTTGATTGTCGATACCGATCATTGATTTGATCGGGTGATTTGGCAATATCTCCTGCAGGATATTGCTTTCCGACATGGCCTCCATGCTAGCCTCGCATGCAGCCACGTACTCAGCTTCGGCTGTAGATAACGCAATTATCGACTGCCGGCGAGACATCCACGCTATAGCACCTCCTGCCAGTGAGAAGACAAATCCTGTCGTGCTCTTCCGCTGCTCAGGATCATTTGCCCAGTCGCTGTCACAGTAACCTTCCAACACGATATCACCAGCTGCATGCTTTTTAGCATAGGTGATCCCGTAGTCTAATGATCCAGCAAGATACCGGAGCACTCTTTTCACAGCGCCTACATGCTTCGCCGACGGGTTTGCCACGAATCGGCTTAATTGACCCAGCGTAAAAGCCAGATCCGGTCGCGTACTGGTGGCCAGGTACATCAACATACCTATGGCCTCACGGTACGGGAAACTGATATCGGACTGCGTATCCTTCTCCAGTGGTGCAAATCTCACATTCGTCTCCATGGGGTTCCCGACAGCATGTGCATTTTGGTATCCGAACTTCTCCAGTATTTCTCGCGCGTACTTCCCTTGGCTGATCTTGATGCTTTCACGGGTCTGTTGCACCTCAACCCCGAGATACTGCGTCAACCTCCCTTGGTCTTTCAGGCCATACGCTTCGTTCAGGTCCTTGAACAGCTTTTCCTTGTATGACTCTTCATTTGTTGCAACTAAAATGTCGTCTACGTAGACCAACACGTATACGATAGTCTCTTCTTCAAACTTGAAATACAAACAGGGCTCAGTAAGTGAGCGTTGGTATCCTCGATCCAGGAACCACTGATTCAATTCCGAATTCCACTCACGCCCTGATTGATGCAATCCATACAAGGCTTTGAGTACGACATACATGTGTCCACCCACTCGGCACGGGTACCCGTTTATCGAACGCAGGTACTGCCGGATAGTCAACCACGCATTTAAATATGCTGTATTGATGTCCCCGCTGTACACATCTAGCTCCAGCTCAGCTGCTATAGCCATCAGCAGTCGGAAGGACGATAACCTCGCCACTGGTGCAAATGTCTCGCGGAAATCAATACCCGGACGCTGGTAATTACCTAGAGCCGCAATTCTCGCCTTGAATCTAACCACATATCCATATTGATCAGACTTCAGAGCGTATACCCACATGGTGTTCACAGGCTTTGCGCCCTCGGGAACCTCGTCTTCGGGAATCTCCTCAATTACACCCTTGGCTTTCAAAGCCGCCATCTCCTCCATCTCCGCCATCAGGAAAAACTCTCGCCACTTGGAGAGCAGCATCTCGCGTCGGTTCCGCGGGATTCTGACTTCACTCGCCCTGATAGGACGACCATTCTTGTCCAGCACCCGTGAATTGTTCAGCGTGAGATTCACGACGTAGTCGTCCAGGTAGCGTGGTCGCTGACGCTCGTGGACCTCGCGCAGTCCGGTGCGTGTCAGCTTAGGTTCCGGTTTGTCCGCTCCTTTCTCGACCCTCTCCTCCTCCGATGGAGTCTCATCTCTGTGCGTGCGCTTTCCAGTCTGGCGCGGGAACTGAGAAAACATTTCACTTGCATCAATGACTTCCATTGGATGAATTTTCTCCTCATCTTTAGTGTCCACTTCCAGTCCTGATGCACTTTCGATGCATGTGACCATATGATCATCCACGCTGTTCTCGTTTCCAGCAAAGTTGCTTGCCACTGTGACGTCCTCGTCACTATCAGTTCCATATTCTTCTGCATCCTCTGGGTCTTCGTCCGCTACAGACGATCCGCATATGCCAACCACTGACTCGTTTTCTTCACCGTCTGTTGCCTCAATATCCGATCGTTGTACTTCAGTTTCTTCAGCATGACTTGTGTAAAATTCTTCGGCCACTTGATCGTCTTCAGAAGATCTTGCTTCCTTGTTCGCTGAGTGTGCATCTTGTAAGCCGCTCGTTTCTCCGTAGCGTAGCTGTTCACCACCAGCAACACCTTGATTTTCACGCACTGGATCCTCTCCCTCCTGCAGCATATCACTGGCTTCACGCACTGGATCCTCTCCCTCCTCGAGTTCAAGAGATTCATCTCTGTTAGTCTCGTTCGCCGCCATTGACTCTGCAACTGTAATCATTTCGGTATCCACATTCTCAACGCCACAGTTTTCATCCTGATCTTCTGTCGAGAAATTAAGTGATGACCAGTCAACAGTTTCTTCATCAACTTCATGCCGGTCTCGGTATACCACCTCCTCAGTCACTCGAAGGTCAGACACGAACTTCGCAGTATGTTCAGAAGGAAAGTAGACCTTACAGCCCACCACGTTCTCAGCGTAGCCCAGAACGTAGCCTAATTTGGCATTTCTGTCGTGTTTGCGCCGGCCCGGCATCACAGGAACGTGTACATACGCTAACGACCCAAACTTCCGAATATGATGCACGTCTGGTTTTGCTCCGAAGAACATCTCGTACGGGACTCTCTGTGTCTCCCTGTTGTAGGACCTGTTTTTGATATACACAGCGTTCCTCATTGCCTCTGGCCACAGACTACGAGGAAGACCAGACTGCTCCATCATGGCCTTAGTCATCTCCACCAGCGACTGGTGTGTCCGCTCACACAGGTTCAACTGCGAGCTTTTTGGCCCCACTTGGATGTGCTCGATGCCCCGCAAGCTGTACCACGCCTCCATGGCCTCGTTCACAAACTCACCACCCTTGTCTGTGAGTACTTGCTTCACCGTGAACGTGATCACCTTCTGGATCATTCTGCCAGCTTGACGTTCAGCCCATAGCACATATTCCTTCAAGTAGTTGTTTACGACCTCACTCGACTTGTTCTTTAGCATGTGAACCGTGACAAATCGGGAGTATCCGTCCATGATCACCAGGACAGCTTCAAATCTGCTGCCATTCCCTTTACCTGGGAAAAGTAAATCTGCGTAAACCACTTGATTCGGCTCCTTGGTAGCTCTATCCAGTTTCTTACGGTGTAGTTTCTTCTTCTGCTTGCCCAAATGACATGCGTCACACGTGTCCTGCTGGCGCTGGGTCAACATCATGCCCTGCACGAGTCCCCGATCCGCCATAGTCTTGAGATACTGCGGACAGATGTGCCCCATGCGTTCGTGCCAGCGTTGCAGAGTTCCAACTCCTTCTGCCATCGTGTAATTGGCCAAAGGCCGGTCTTCTGGTCCCACAACGCCTCCGTTAGAAGGATGAATTGCTTGAAAACCCCACGTTGCTTCCTGCAGGTTGGTGTGGTGAAGCGCCAGTTGGCTTTCACGAATAAGAAAACTGATTGATGGGAAATGACCCGATCCAGCCCTGAGACTCATGGTCGACGACGGTGCGTCAGTGATTACGTCATCATCGGTGAG